CCTCAGCAGAGCTTCCCAACGGGTTGGTTTAAGGATGAACATGGATAAAACCAAGGTCATGATCAATGTCTATGTCACTCCAGCACCAGTATCTGTTGGGAATGCGATTCTCGAAGTTGTCGATCATTACGTCTACCTAGGACAAACAGTCCCGTTGGGCATATCCAACTTCGAGAAAGAGGTCAACCGACGAATCCAACTCGGATGGGCAGCGTTCGGGAAGCTTAGGCACATCCTCACGGCCAAAATTCCCCAGTGCCTGAAAAGAAGGGTCTATGACCAGTATGTGTTACCAGTGATGACTTATGGGACTGAGACGTGATCTCTGAATGTCGGCCTCATAACAAAACTCAAAGTCGCGCAGCGTGCTATGGAGAGGGCTATGCTCGGTGTTTCCCTACGTGATAAGATCCGAAATACGGAGATCCGTAGAAGGACCGGTGTGTACGACATAGCCCGAAGAGTTAGCACGCTGAACTGGCAATGGGCAGGCCACATCGCTCGAGGATCTGACAACCGTTGGGTAAGAAAGGTCTTCCAGTGGCGACCACGTACCGGACGACGCAGCGTGGGGCGGCCCCCAACACGGTGGACTGACGACATCGTCAAATGTGCTGGGAGCCGCTGGATGCGGATAGCGCAGGACCGCGCATTGTGGCGTTCTATGGGGGAGGCCTATGTCCTGCAGTGGACGGAAAAAGGCTGATGAATGGATGGACAACATTTTAAATAACACAGCAAATGTAACATAGTGTTAATTATAATATCTAAAAGCTAAACTATTGGCTTGAAAAACATGGAAAAATTCATAATAATAGTGCTTTTTATGAACTTTTAAGAAATATTATAACGGTCCGAATAGGTTTGTTAGTTTAATAGTAATAGTCGTTAAACTTTGGTTAAAGAAAATTTCTTAGCTGTTGAAAATTCCTTGGAAGAAAACATTAGTAGTGACAAAGATAAAATTATTGTAGCGTAAAACCTTGCATTGAAAAAGAAATTAACAAAACATTTTCGTTTTTACATAACTAAGACAGTGAGACACGTCGAATTATGTAAAAAAGCGTATTTTAAACCCGTTAAAAAGTGGTTTTATTAAAAGAGTGTAGTACGTGAAAACTTAAGAAACAAAGAAGGTAAACTAGTTTAAGCAGTTTTATTCCTATTTATAATACGGATCGAAGAGAAAATTGATGATAAAAGAATAACGAAAAATGTTATTTACAGTAGGAACTTCGCCTCCGCTTCCGTTACTGCGGAAGTTCCACATGTAATCGTACCTTCGCTTCCTCCTCCGCATCCGTACAATTTTTGCGGAGTTGTAACGGAGGTTTATTTACGTAATCATAAAGCAAAGCAAAGCGAGCGACGTTCGACGCTGACTGCCGTCCACCCGCGTGTTTCGCGCGAAATGGTCAAGATTCAACGAGTGCGCGGCAGGAACACGGTTGGGGTGGGGACGGGCGTTTGTCATTTGTCAAATGATACACGACAGGAATCAACCTGTCGAATTGTTTGTACGAGTTGGACGTTACGAAGTTTTACCGATGTAAAATAACTAATTCTAATTGAATCGCGACTGTTTTAAGTGATTTAGTGCAAAATAATTATTCTGCTTAATTAAGTCACACGATGAAACCGAAATCAAGTGAGATTTGGCAGTTTTTTGTAGAAATAGATAATAATTTTGCGAAATGTAAAACCTGTGGGAAAAATTATTCAAGGAAAGGTCGGACTACGACATCACTTAGAGGGCATTTGAAGTCTATGCATAAAGAAAAATACGAAAGAAAAAGAAAGAGAACAGGAGAAATCAAAACAGTCTACGTCCGTTACACCATTACAACAAGCAAAAAGGCAGCTGTCCTTAGAAGAATCTTCAAAAAAAATCAAATCTGGGATACATCACATCCCAAGGCAAAGAAAATGAACGATATGATCGGAGAAACGATCGCTTTACATAATCTTGCGTTTCATTTTGTCGAAGGCATTGGTTTTCGCCGTGTTATGCAAACGGCTTTGCCAAATTATCAATTAAGAGTTTCAGTTTTTTACTGATCATGTTTGTAATGAAATATATACTAGAATAGCTACCAAAATTGAGCAAATGCTTAAAACTTTTTTAAAACTGTCATTCACTACGGATGTTTGGTCTGAGCCAAGTGCTAACGTTTCACTTCTGAGCTTAAACGCACATGCTATAACTGAAGATTTTACTCATATGAAAATTGTCTTAAAATGTTGCTCACTTCATGGGCGATATAATTTGTAACAATTTCAATATGATGCTACGGGAGTGGAACATCCAGGACGAGCAATTGCATTGCTTTGTTAGAGATGGTGGATCAAATATGGTCAGGGCAATGCATGTAGCCGATATACCTGACGTGAGTTGCATAGTCCATTAACTGCAGCTGTGTATTCGTTCTGCGCTCGAAACTGTTGAAGTGAAGGAGTTGATCACAAAATTCAAGAAGATATCAGGCCATTTTAGTCATTCACAGATAAAATTCAAACCGAGCAACTTAATCAACCTGCACTTCGCATTATTCAGGACTGTGTTACCAGGTATGTTTGTTTATTTTACATATATGTATACGCTTTTAACAACTTTGTATAGAACTTGACAAGCAGTTATATTTGTTTAATTTTTTCATTTCAGATGGAACAGCACTTTCCATATGATCGAAAGGATGTTAAAGATCAAAGATTCTATTTGCCTGTATGCCAGCAAACATAACATTCCACAAATCTCTCCAGAAGAGTGATTGTATCTTAATAAAATTGTGGCAATACTCAGTCCCTTTGAAGAAATAACAAGGAATTTGAGCGATACAAAAACTTCCATATCGTCAGCGATACCATTGATCTATATACTAAAACGTACATTACAAGCTGAAAAGGAAAAATCAGACACAATTCAGAATTTCCAGAGCATCATTCAAAAACTAATTGAAGACATCAATTTCAGATTTTGTGACCTTGCAAGACACTGTTTTCGCTTGCTACATATTTGGATCCAAGGTACAAATTAAAGTTTTTTGATGAAATTAATAAGGAACAAGTTCAGTCCGAACTAATACACTTGCTTACTATACATAACTTAAATGTGGCAAGTGGAGTTAGTGATGACGAAGCTTCTGGTGCTTCTGCTGCCAAAAAAGCTAGAGTAGAATCAAACCCAATGCATGAAGAACCAAGCACAAGCTTCCAGATTTTACCATCAACACAAAGTGTGCATTCGAATCTGGTTGACATGTTGACAAATCGCAGTGACAGTGAAGAGGAAACTGAAAATGACGACAGCAATAGTAACCTCATGATATGGATAATTTTAATTAGTGAATATAATAAAGAAAACCGACTCAAATTAGACGATGACCCTTTATTGTGATGGAGAAATAACAATAAATATAAAGATTTTTCTCCTATCGTTCGCACGTACTTATCGGCGCCGCCAAGTTCAGTGCCAAGTGAACAATTATTTAGTTCAGCTGGCTTAATTAAGAACCCCTTAGAAATCGTTTGGAAGGTGACAAAGCCGCAAAATTATTGTTTGTCAAATATAATTTACCTCTCCTGCATTTTGATTACTAGAAGGTAATGTTTATTTATATGTTTACTTAAATGTACGTATTTGAAATAAAGACTTTGTACTTCTAATAGTTTTGATGAACTATAAATTACTATTTTTTCTAAATCCACTTTCACCTCCGTCTCCGCCTCCGGATGCGGAGGCATCCGTGGAAGTGAAACTCATCACCTCCGCATCGGCATCCGCCTCCGCCTCCGCTAAGAAGGCCTCCGTTACAACCCTAATTTACAGGTACAAGTCCAAACTGAATTGCAGACCGCAAGCCGCAGCTGCAGACTACAGGCGACACTACTGGTTTCTATGAAGCTCTATGAAATTGATTCCGAGCGCGACGACATTGCGGCCTGCAGCCGCTGCGCATACAGCGACCGCAAACTGCAGTTCCAGTGGTGCCACGACCCGTAGAGATGTTGTCACACGAAGAGAAGTTAATTAACTTTGTTTCTTGTCATCCAGTCCTTTCTAAATTACCGCAATAATTTGATCAAAGATAATGTGTGGAGAGCCATAGGAAAGAACTTAAATAAAAATAGTAAGTACCTACCAAAATGGGTATACGCTATTTGAATTCCAATACTCCATAGACAAATTTTATGTTATACTTATTATACTATTGTTTCTGTATGCTTAAACAATAAAGAATATGGTATTTTATTTGGCCCACATAGTTCCTTCTCTAACAAAAGACACATTAGTAAAGTATCGGTAGCGTTGTCAGACATTTTGTCTTGCACGCAGGTATTGGAGTGTCTGAGGCATGGTTCTAAGCATTGTCCAGCCGCGGCATGCCGCCGTGCTCGAAATAGAAACTGCCGTGACCGCAGGCAGTGTCGCCTGCGGTCGCAGTCTGCAGCCCATTGCGGAATTGTACCTTACAAGTCAATGTCCTTGAAAGTGTTGGAATAGAACGCACAGTCATGTGCTTTGTTGTGGGAATCATCTTAGCTTCAATATCGTACCGTACAGCCAGCAAACAAATGCTTAGACCTTTTAAGTAAATATGTTGCTGCTGTTGAAAAGTCATGAAATAGAAAATAGAGAATAATATGAAGTCCTGCCACAGAGTGGAAGGAAGCTAGCAAATATATATAAAAAAAGCATTGCCCAACTCCAGAGGTAAACTCCTCGCTAAGCACTTTTATTTCTTATAATATTTTAATGCTAACCCGAGTTTAAATAATCTTCTTCGTCGAATAATTATTTCTCAACACAACATTTCTATCACAGTCCTCCGCAGACACCTCTTCCACGGCCTTCTCAAACGCTGCTAGCGCTGAAGAAGCGCTGAGCTGATTTTTTATTTTAGGGAATAAAAAGAAATCACACGTAGCCAAATCAGGACTGTAAGAAGGGCGCCCCAAGACTCTGACCGGTGCGTGTGGAGTCCAGGAAGTCCTTCGTTTTGATCGCAGAGTGCGCGGGCGCGTTGCCGTGGTGAAGAAGGACCATTTGCTTAAGTACACTAGGTACTTACTAGTTATTTTAGGCATAAATTTTGTTCAGAGCATACATTTGCTAAGTGGAAATTCGGCTTAAGATTTACCAAAACCGGTACAATGTAAAAGTTTAAATTGATAAATGATTATCGTCGTTTTGAACTTACTTTAAATAATATTCAGGTTTTTCCCTCGAAACGCATCTTGGCTTGTTGTTGACAATTGCAATGCATTTCGCAGCGCTGAAATTTAAACTCATGCCAATGTATAAAGTGACGTAGTGCTGTGCTATAAACCTATGCAGTAAAATACATACTAATACTTCGGATAAACTTTCTTATATTGTCAAGGTGCACGCGCCCCGGCTTGCAGAAGGCTCAGGTTCGTTTCCTATCTGAAACCTGGACCGAATGGATGTTTTCTAGTTAAAAATTTCTGTAGATTTATAATTTAGCATTTGAATGCTCAAAATTACAAAACAACTTTATATCCAGATGTTTTTAAAATCCTTACTTTTACAACTAATATTGGTTTACAATACAATATCGCATACAGTTACACATACTGTATTCTATTTATTGGCAATCTTCGGAAGCGAAGATACGATTACTGATAGAGCACAGGTAAAAATCATGTCCGTCCGTCCTCAGGAAGCTATCCAGGTTAATTGCAAAGCCTCACCCCGAGAGGTCCTCACCGAACCACTTTATATTACGACAACCTTTGATATCGTGAAGAGTCCGTGTTCCCGTATTAAATATTCTTAAAAAGTTTTCACCACAAAGGATTTCTTTATAAACAAATGAACTGCTTGTCATTATGAAGGGTCTTGTTATCACTTCAGCGCGCGCTTTTATATCATTATTATTTGTGAAAAACGTTTGGGTTTTTCATTCGCGTATTTATTGTTTCAAACCGACTTCAAAAAAGAGGAGATTTAAATGTAACGCTACATGAAAATCATGACTATCCTTTTGACGAAGTCTAATAAAAAGAAGGGCTCTTTTTATCAACAAAGGCCAGACGCCCGGAGTATATAAGCAATTCTCCTTGCCAATATGATTGGTTAAACGTACTCACAAAAAGAAAACCCCAGCTATTTCGATATAATCCATAGGAACCAATATAATCTCATTCAACGCTGTCATTATCCTATTCAATATAAGCAAACGTACTTTGGAAATAAGCAGTGTCCAGGCAAACTATAATTTTCTCTTTGCGAGCCATAACGGCTTTCATTTGTAGGCGGTTTTATTGGAAAAGCGTTTCTACTGGGTCTCCACGACTCGTCCCTTGAGTAAGCTCCGGCTGTTTGAGTAAATAAAGTGTTGAGTTGTGCCCACTATACAATACTTACAATGTTGTATAAACACTCCCGTAATGTACCGTATACATATACCACCGGAGAAACGATGTCAATATAAGCGAGGTAGGGCAGAGCGTAATGTAAGAATTCGCGCACACCTCTGCAACTTACAGAGGCTAATCGATTTTTTTTCCTTTATGTAGCATAACTATGATCAATCATCTTTATATTCTAAACCTTGAGGTTTCCATAGCTACAAATGACAACGCGCGATCAACACCTACTGACATCGCTATTTCGAAGCTATGATGACCGCATACCACCGATCGCGTACCATCAGTTTGGATAGATATAGTGCGTAATGGATTCTCCACCAGAAATGAAACGCCCGTCTAGGAATGTAACCACACCACAACCATACAGAGGACACTGAAATAATACTTTATACTTTCGAGTTGTTGTCTGTCTTTCTGCCGGTGCAGCGGTGTGTAAGGCCGTGCTCACTTCGGACGCGTTTTCCGACGAATTTTACTCGTGCAAACATGAACGAATGATCCCAACTATTTTTTTTTTTATCATTCATAACTGCTAGTATGACAGTCTGAGCAAGTGACCGCGTTGAATACATCACTCTGGATTAAAGATCTATGATAATCAACGGTTAATAATTTAGTACTCAATGAGTGATAAAAAATTTGGAAAAAAAGATTTTCTTTACATGGCAGTCTGAGCTATAGTGCTCAATGAGTGCTGGCATTATGTGATAAATTTGGAAGTAAGAAACAAACAGTTTTGATTCGAACCTATTTAAATGTCTAATAAATAAACACACACGAACATTCGCGCCTGGCGAGGCCTGGAAAAATTAAAATTCCTAATTTTTTATCACATACTGGCACTCATTGAGCACTAATTTATTAACCGTTGATGATCATAGATCTTCGATCCAGAGTGATTTATTCAACCCGGTCACTTGCTCAGACTGTCAAACTAGCAATTTTGATTGATAAAAAAAAACTATTTTTTTTTCGAAATTTTTTATCAGATACTGCCAGCACTCATTAAGCACTAAATTCCAAATTTAGTTCTATACCGCGTTAATATAGGCATTTCAGTTAATACACTGCTAGCTTAATTAAAAGCTGGCAGTGTTCTAATTTTTCGCGAAACTATGAGAGCATTAAATTTCAGGTTTTGGCACTAAATTAGCACTGAACTAGCACTAATTGATGCACTTTTTTTTAAGCGATTCTGCTCACTTTGCCATGCTAGCTTAACAGACGTTAAATCTTACATCATACTCGTAGGTGGGATGATAAATATTTATTTGTCCCCGTTGTTTGCTTGTAATTTTTTTTTTAGATTTTGTACTCAAAGGGTAAAAGCCGCACCCTATTACTAAGACTCCACTGTCCGTCTACCTATTACCAGGCTGTATCTCATGAACCGAGATAGCTAAGACAGTTGAAATATTCACAGATGATGTGTTACTGTTGCCGCCATAACAACAATAAGTACTAAAAACAGAATAAAATAAATGTTTAAGTGGGGCTCCCATACAACATAATGTTTTTAAAGTGAAACTTCTTTAGGCACGCTTGACTTGGGGAGTAAGCTGGCGAACGCGTTACGAAAAGTGTGATCGGGCGAGACGAACGGGAGTTGAGTGGGGGATATAAGCAAGAGAAAGCAGTCCGCGCGCACATTCATTTGACGACCTCCGTGGCCGAGTGGTTTGTACGCCGGGTTTCATGGCTGTCGCCGACTCGAGAGGTCCCGGATGTTTGTGTGATGAATACGAGCATTTGTACTCCAGTCATGGATGTTTAATATGTATTTATATAAATATACTTATATATGTACAGTATATATATTCTATCCGTTACCCTAGCATCCCATAACACAAGCCTTATAGTGCTTACTTTGGGGCTAGGCTAATTGGTGTGAGTGTCGGAAATATTTATTTATTCTCTTTCTCTTATAGCTAGTAAATGAAATATGTATATGTGCATACATGTATATATTATTCATATACATATATATATATATATAGGAGTTCGGAGTAGTTTAATTACGATCACCGTGACACGAGAATTTTATATATTAGATATATATAGACAGATAAAGTTAAAGAAATTTCACTTCAGTCGTGGGGTCATAAGCACACTCGTTTTATTACCGTTGCTTGTAGATATTATATTGTAGTGTCTAATGTTGTACCTGTAGATAATGGTACGGAACACTTCGTTCGTGAGTCTGACTCGTGCACATTTAAAAAGCGATTGTAGAACCGCAAATAAACCGCGGATTAAAAGTTTCTTGTAAATGTGTGTCGCTGTTGTTAAAAAGATGATTTCGCTCAATACCTACTGTTGTCTGTTCCCTTAATGGTACAGTGGAAGAGGATTTTTACTGATGTACTCTTCTGGGGTACCTTTGGCCATGAAACATAATAAAAATAAAAGACAATAATAAGCCCTTATTTTAGAAGTGATATTGAAAATTTCTGTGATAATAACCGTTTCTTAATTTTAAAAATAGAAATTCTTTCTTCTGTAAATTGACACTGAAAGTAAAATATATTCACATGCATACCAGTAATTGTTCTGGATTTAAATTAATGACTCCATCAAATAGAACTAGTTTTTACGGGTTAGATTAGATGTACAGAATTTATTTAATTATTGACGTTTCGCATCCTTTCAGGAATGCGTCGTTAAATGCTGATGAGTTTCTTGCGCCCATTCTTCTTATCAGCTAAAAGGAGGTCTTATCAAGTGAATAGATGGTAGGAAAAAGTATTGGAGTTTTCAATAAATGACTTAGAATAAAGTATAATTTAATTTTAATTTCAAGACAACAGTCAGGCATTGTCCTAATACAACGCGATAACGCGAATGAGCGATGCGATCATCGTACGAGTCGACGATCAAACATATTGATCTAGAACAGGTGTCCTAATAGGCGATCGAGCGATGCATTCGCGCGACTAAAATGTTTAAAAATCTATTCGCGGGAACATAGTTCGCGCGAACGCGCAATCAAACCTATTAATGATGAATAGGTGTCCTAACTGAAGTTCGCGCGATGATCGCGTCGCGTCGATAGGAAGCGGGGAGAGGGGCAGGGCTAACCCGACCAAAGTGTGTGTCAATCGTGATCGCGTATTCGCGTTCTATTAGGACACCCCGTTCGCGATCACGCGATGGTCGCATCGTTTAAACGCGCGATGATCGCGTTATCGCGTTGTATTAGGACAACGCCTCACGATTACACAGGATTTTATCGGAAAAAAAGGAACAAAGTCGACCTTCTTTTCTTTTCTTGTCAATATTACTCTGTAATTATTTGTGACAGTTGCTCGCCAACAAGACCCTTCCAATTTCTTATAACCTATATATCTATATCTATACATATCGTTCGTAGTCCAGCCCAAAATTGCTTATCTCTTATATCGACATTGGAAGATGCAATTAAAAAATCTTTGAACATTCTCTTTTAAAACTAAATTTATATACGAATGAGTTGAAAGTTGTAAGACGTTTACAATCATCACTTGTGCTTGAAGTTTCTACGTCTTTCAAAGTCCAAAAGGAAAGTTGGTCCTTATATATTGAAGATTCCACCAGGAAAGACGCAATAATTTCGAAATTTTTCTTCTGTTACTAACTTCATATTCTCCAGGTATAAAAGAAATAAATTTAAATTTATAGTCATTGTAGTA